CACCAGCCTCTCCTCAGGAGAAAAGGTTGGCAGTTCATACCCACCAGCCTCTCCTCAGGAGAAAGATGAGAGTCTGCTGTAAAGACTTACAGTCTCAGAAACCCTGGGGAGCAGGTCAAGTCTGCCTTCAAGGGTTGGTAGGAGTCAGAACAGACTCCATGGTACGGGGTTTGGGTTTCGGCACACCCTTTTATTTCCCACCTGAGTCGGAAGCTGCTTTCCAATATGGTATTTAAATTGATGAAAATTAATGTACATTAAAAACTCAGTTGTGATTGTGAGGGTTGGAAATGTAAAGGTAGACGTTTTGTAGCAAGGAGGGGAGTGATTAACTTTGCAGTCTAGGAGCAGAGGTCCCTGGGACCATCAAGGAAGAAGAGCGGAGAGCGGGACCCTACCCAGAGAAGCTGTGATGTCAGAGAAGGAGGCAGAGATGATGACGTGGAGAGATGGAGCAGCTGGGGACTCTAGACCCAGAGAGGGAGAAGGGCTGTGTGCTGACGACCAGGGGTCAGGCTTGCAGGGTATACCCTTTGGTTGGTTGATGATGCATGGAGGGGAATGTAACCATAGCAATGAAACGATATACGATAGGATGAATATAAAACTAATGTTCTCCCATGTAAACTATCACATAATTCACAATAAAACATTAAAAAACAAACAAACAAACAAACATAAAAACTTGAGTCATAAAAACTTCTTGGCTATAACCAAACATTTTGAGGGCAGGAGACACTGGTACTGAAGCCTCCGGACACAGTGTCAGACAACACCATGGTCCACTGGCATAACACAGTCCACAAAGACAATGTTCTACAGGCTACTTTGATGAGTAGCCACAGAGATCTTTTTAAAATCTTGTAAGTGGCCATCTAAGGTACAACTACTGGTCTCGTCCTGTTGGAAAGGAAAGGAAAGTGATGACAATGAAATTCACAGGGAAAGAATTCACCCAAGGGACTAATGGACCACGTGAATATCAGTCTCCACAACGCAAGAGCAGAAGTGGATGGCACCCAGCTCTCAGTGCCAACGGCTTTGAAAGTGATCACATTAGAAGGTCCAGGATAGAGTGGGAGAAAATATGGACTAAGACTCAAAATCATTTAAAAAAAAAAAAGAGAGAGAGAGAGACCAAGTTTACTGGTCTGGTAGAGACAGGTGGAACCCCGAAACTATAGCCCTCAGTCACCCTTTAGGTCTGGAACTGAACTCACCCCAGTGGAACACTGCTGAGGTTCACTCCCCTTAGAACAACCAGCCATTCCACTGGAGATCAGAAGGGTGGCATTGCCCCAAGGACAAAGTTCAGAAGAGTTAAGAAGGAAGGAGGGATGGAAGCTGGCACCCAGGGAGGAAGAGGGATCAGTGATTTGGCACAGGACTGCAATCCCTGAGATGAGACGAAATGCGGCGTATGACGTGTCGCACATAAAACTGACATCTGCTCACTAAAGCTTCACGCAGTACATGAAAAAAGTTCTCAAAACCGAATGAAACGCTGCAAAGGTGAGGAAGGTCACAAAACACCCGCTGCTCCTTGGCTTGGGGCTCCCTTACAGCGACGGAACATTTCCAGTTCTGAGGGGGTTCCAGATCATTGGTCTAGAGCACCAGGAACTGGTCTCCCTTTGAAGAGCCGGACCAGGCTCAGCCTCAATGTGACGTAAAACATTACAGAAGGATAAGGACAACTCTCTTTACCTCACGGCAATGCCAGCTGCTACGCACACCTCAGGCCACAGCCTGAGCCCACTCATGTTGATTCTTCTTCTCTCACCTTACAAAGCCAATTGTCACTGAATCAACTCAGACTCATGGCGACCCGGTGTGTATGTGTGGTAGTGGACTGAGTCTGCAGAAGTACCTCACCAGACTAGCCGTTTTGTTAGCAGCTGAACGTGCTGCTGGCTGTTTGCGGGATTATAGACGGACTGCACTTCGTACCACGAACTGCCCTTTACCAGGGACCTGCCCTGCTCAAAGCGCTACTCTAAGAAGCACATCAATGCCCTGCAAAGGGACTCCGCTGAACCAAAGCCCAGAAGACCCAGGCCCAGGTGGCCCACACTGCATCAGCAAATTAGCAGCTGTAGAAACATATAATCCTGTCCCTAAAAGGGACATGGGGTTTCATTTTTCCTGAGCCCAAGACATAGATCCCCATGAGAACCAAAAATCCTTCCCAGGAATACGGCAGGATGTGAGACCTGAAAGCAAGAACCCTTTTCTAATGACTTCCTTTCAGAGCTTTAACACTCTATAACCAAAGAATAAGAGGGGAGGTCTAGAGAGTGTAGTTCTGCAAGGCTCAAGTCTTAATGATCTTTTAGAAATCTGGCTTTTACTTGTTAATTCTGGTAATTCAGTTTTAAAGTGGCTCATGCAACACACCAATTCTTTTGGTTAAGCTCCCCCTAAGATCCAAATGCACCCTCAGCCCCACACAAGATCCCCATGACCCAGTGAGGTGTCTGGCCCCGCACTTGAAGTCTTTGAAAGCACATTTAAACTAGAGATTAGCTGACATAAACCACAAGCCCTGTACCCATCAAATTTACAAGTGGATCTCCCAAAGCCCATCCAAGAAGAAACAAAATACCCATCTAGACTTTGCTCAGGGGAAATACAATTAAATAAAAAATTTAGACTTTCAGAAAAGGACATCTATAATTCCAACATCGTATTCCTGGATACACGTCTTTTCATGAGTCCCACCCTCTTTTCTTGACACAGACATTCTTTAGCTCTCCCAGGATGCTCTCTGGCCACCCGGTTCCTCCCTCTGTGGCTGTCTCTCTATGTCTGCAGTGAACTTGGAGCTGGGTTCCTGTGCCCTTGAAGGTCCCCAGCACAACGCCTACTCCCTTACTAGGAGACGAATACTGAGGTTTCCTCCTACCTCACTGGGGTCTGAAATGTATATTAGGAAAGCCTCTAGCAAAAGCACTATTGGAAAAACACTCCCCACCAAAAATCTGAGTCCTGGTGTGACGCTGAGGGTTAACGCGCTGGACTGCAAAAGTCAGTTTCAACCCAAGGTCGGTGGTCCAAGCTCACCAGCCGCTCCTGCTCCTTGGAAACCCTACACAGGATCACTATGGGTCAAAACCAACCCAACAACACTTAACAGCAACCAAAAATCTAACAGAACAATTCCCCTTTGGCATTATCTGCCCCCATGGCTTTTCACAACATCAGAAACAGCAGCAGATAGAAGAACGCATTCAGTCAACATTTACTGACCACCTAGAATGTACTGCGGTATCTGGGAAGAGTGGAGAATGAGACAAAGTTCCTGACCTCACAGAGCTTCCATTCCAGTTGGGGAGAGAGAGAAAAGGCAAATCAGTGCGTAGCCTTTCAGATAGTATGGAGTGTTGGGAGGGGGAGGGGTAAACCAGGGGTTGTTTTCTTCCAGGGTGAGTAGGGAGAACCTTACATTTGAACATCTGAGGACTTGAACCACATGGTTGTTTGTGGGAAGAGTGTTCCAGGAAGTCAGAGCAACGACTCAGTGGCCACAGGTTGCCCGACATGTTTAAGAAACAAGGTGGCCAGTGTGGGTAGGTAGAGGGAAAGACAGGTGAGTACCAGGAGATGAGGTCAGAAGAGTAAGAAGTGTACACTTCATAGGTCTTTGAGGGTCGTTCTAAGGACCTCAGATTCTCTCCAGAGGAAGACAGAAAGTCATCAGCAGTCTGGGCATGACTGGCATTTCAATAGGAACCACAGCACTTAATAATAAAATCGACAGTTTGCCTGTCGGGGTACTAGAGGGATTGAGTCGTAAAGAATGCAGAGAGAGGGCAGTGGATGGTTGCAACTGGAAGGAGGGGAGAAAACTATGCTCAGTGGTGGTTCTGAGGTAGAATCTTTGCCTTCCATACAAAAGACCTGGTTCAATTCCTGGCAATGCATCTCCTGAGCAACCACCATTCGTCTGTCAGTGATGCAGCGGGACAGGTTTCAGCAGACTAACAGACTATAAAGAAAAGCCAGGTAATCCACTTTAAAACTCAATGAAAATCAACAGTCCAATCACAGCCAATTATAGGGTGACAGAGGACGTGTCAGCGTCTCATTTTTTGGTGGATGGGGTCACGATGGTTTAGGGGTTCACTGGTGATGGTTAACAACGTCACCAACAGAAATATGATCGAATTCCACCTCCTCCTTTTATAATGAGATGAGGAAACATAGAGGAAAGCACTGAGAATGGTCAAAATCAACACAGTAATAAAAGGGGCTGTAGTTTTTACCAAAGTAGAGCGTCCTGAATTCAAAAACATAAACACTACTTTTTACCTTACAAACTAGACACACCTGAAGAGGGCTGGTTCTGTGCATGAGGTGTGTGGTTGTTAAGAGCCCTTGTGTCGGTTCCGACTCACACCCACCCTGTATAGGGGGTTTCTGCTGTTCAAACCGACCTTGCAATCCAGCATATTAGCCCGCAGCACCACACCAGGACTCAAGTCCAAACACTTGAAAACAGGAGGGAGATTCTGTTTCCTTCTGATGCAGAGAAACTGGGGCAAGACTGGCCCTGAGCAAGCCTGGGGCACCAGACCAGCCCGGAGACACTGTAAATCTGCTGCCTTCTGGGAGCCACGTTGCTGTTGTTGGGTGCCACCGACTCGGTTCTGACTTAGAGCAACTTTGTACAGGGTTCCTGAGGAGCGGCGGGTGGGCTTGAACCACCGACCTCTCAGTTAGTAGTCCAATTCTTATCTGACAGCACCATACCAGGTGTTGTTGTATAAAAACCAAAATTGCTTCCCAAAGCCTCACGTAAAAAGTCTGCATTTAAAAGCACGTGAGTTTTTTAATTTTTCCAGTGGCAACTTTTTATAGGAAATGCGAAACGCATGGCCAACCACAAACCAAACCTTGACTATTGTTTTCCTTTACTAACATCCCTGTTCTAAAATAAGAACCATGCTCCGGAACTCACTATCTCCATCTATACAGTCTTCTGACTGTTTGTCCAACAGTTTCTAGGTAGAACTATATTTACCCTTAATGAAAACAAAAACAAAGACAAAGCCAGTAGCATCCAGTGGATTCTGGTTGGCAGTGACCCTATAGGACATATTAGAAGTACCCCATAGTTTCTTAGTCTAGAATGTTTATGGGAGCAGACTGCTGCTTCTGTCTCCTATGGAGCAGCTAGTGGGTACAAACCACAGACCTTCCGTTAGCCACTGAGCACTTAACTGCTGTATCACCAGGACCCTCAGGCCAACAAATTACAATTACCTGAAGATGGTTTTTAAAATACTGGTGCCCAGGTCCATTCCAGAAAACCACTCTTAAAAGATGATGGGTTAAAAAAATACAAATCTTTAATTCTATACTAACTCTCTCTTAGAGTCCATTTATAAACGAAGCCACTGCCACCAAGTCGACTCATAGGCACAATACAGGACGCAGCAGAACTGCTTCATAGGGTTTCAGAAACAGCAACTTTTTACAGGGCAGACAGCCTCATTGTTCTGCTAGGGAGTGGCTGGATTTGAACTGCTGATCTTCTAGTTAGCAGCCCAATGATTAACCCACAATGCCACCAGGGCTCTTTATCTATTTGAATGTTGTGTTGTTAAGTGCCATTGAGTCTGTTCAGATTCATAGTCACCCTGTATAGGGTTTTCCAAGGAGTGGCTGGTGGGTTTGAACCATCAACCTGAATGTTGTTGTTGTTAAGTGTTGTTGAGTTGATTCCAACCCATAACGACCCTGTATAGAGTTTCTAAGGAGCAGCTGGTGAACTTGAACTGACCTTGCAGTTCAAACAGCTTTGCAGTCTGGTACATTAACCCACAGAGCCACACTAGGACTCCATCAATTGGAATAGACTATGTTAATTAAATATAATATCACACACATTATATTTAATTCTGTACTAACCTAATTCTAATGGTCTGACATACCTAAAATAAAAAATGAACAAAATCTTTAAAATAATTCTTTATAAAAGAGGGCGGCATGCTGAATTCTCTTCCAAGGGTTTCCTGTTGGCTTGCTGATGATATTTAAATGAGATGTTAACCCCTTAGTAACACCGTTCATTGGCAGTGTGTGATGGTCTCTTTCCCCCGAAGGGAGTCCTCTTAACCGGAGAGAGAAGACAACGAGCAACACAAATAGCCAGATTATCAGGGTCAATGGTGCGTCTCACAAGAGGAGAAAAAGATCAATTATTCCCAGTTCAGCAAATGCATGAAGGGCTCAGGGTAAAGAAATCATTGCTTGAAGGCTAAGGCCAGAGCTCACTGATGGAATTATGGGTATGGGAACCCCAGATCGAACACACAAACGTGGGGAAGCATCAACCTAAAAGCTCAGGAAATGGGGTACAGTTCTGCTGAACCATTTATCTTGGAGGGATTCCACATATACTGCATTTATCTGCCCGTACAGTCTCCATATCAACTATGTCAAATCCTTCTCCCAAAACTCAGCATATGTATGTCAATGAAATAGGCTGACTCATAACTAGATTATTTATGAGCAAGTTTTTAGACTTTCGCTGTGTTCCTCTACTTCTTTATGATCTTGATGGTTTGCTTTAAAAATAACATGCACAGAAAGGAATGTCTCCTTTCATTTTAACTCAAACCGAGATTGTTTTAGAAATGAAAATCTATTGAGGGGGCCTTCATTATAAAAGGAATTCTGGTATGGCATTGTGGGTTAATGTGCTGGATCAGAAGGTCAGTTTGAACTGCAAGGTTGGTGGTTCAAACTCACCAGCCAC